CAGTGCCACGTAAGCAGTGCCACGTCAGCAGTGCCACGTCAGCAGTGCCACGTCAGCAGTGCCACGTCAGCAGTGCCACGTCAGCAGTGCCACGTCAGACACAGTGCCATGTAAGCAGTGCCACATTAGCAGTGCCACGTAAGCAATGCCACATCAGCAGTGCCACGTCAGACACAGTGCCACGTCAGCAGTGCCACGTCAGACACAGTGCCACGTCAGCAACATGACGGGCCTGCCAGGCCAACTGGCCAATGAGCCCATTGCCGACTACAAAAAGCGCTTCCAGGCTCAGCTCGTTGCAATCGAGGCTGAGGAACAACGCCAGCTGGCAGTCAAGGCTGCCCAGCTACAGGCTGAAGAAGCGGCAACAGCAGAGAAGCTGCGGCTACAGGCCGAAGCAGACGCAGATGCCCAGGCTCGCCGCAAGGAAGCCCAGGCTCTGCTGCAGCGGCATGAAGCCAACAGCATCGAGAAACTCAAGTACTGGCACTTTGACCTGAACGGCAACGAGGCAACACCGGAAGAGCAGCATAAGGAGTTTCTCTCCAAACTCGTGACACGGTTGTTGTATGCTTGCAACTACCAGCGGTCCGAGTTGGAGAAACAATACCAGAACCTGACGCAACAGCATCAGGAGTTGGCAAAGCTCCGCCATACAGTGCAGAGCCACACTCAATGCCCGATTGCTGGACCTGGAACAGGCTGTACCAGGACCAGCTGCTGGGGCTTCCAGCAGTGCATCCTCTAGTCGCCAACCGGAGGAACGCGTTGACCACGTAGTGGCAATGCTCGGCAACATCAGCACCTTCGCTGCGCCGACCACCATCAGCAGTCAGCTGCATTCCTTGAAGACCGAGGTCCAGCAGTTGCAGTCGACGAACGCGGATGACAATCCGAAGATGTACAAGATGCCAACTTTCCAACTGGACAAGTTCGACGACTACACGCAGCAGGATCCGGTCCTCTGGTGGGAAGCATTCACAATGCAACTCAGGATTCTGCCCGTAGCCAAGCATGCGTACATCGGCGCCCTGTTCCTGAACTCAAAGGGCGGATGCCAGACCTGGCTGAGCCACCTGGCAACCTCCCATGGCGTCGACGTACCGGACTTGAAGGACAAGATCACATGGGAGGAACTGACACGGTTGTGGAATTAGCGGTTCATCGTCGACGACGCGCCGGCACTCGCCATCAACCGTCTGTTCACCATGTCACAGGGCAACACTGCAACACGGGACTGGCTCACGGAGTGGCAGAAGATTGCGGCAGTGCCCAATCTAGAGTTGCCATTCATACATCTCAGACATGAGTGCAGACCAGAACAAGAACCGACCTCTCAATGCAAAGTACAAGATAACACAGCGGAAGACTTAGATACTCAGGATCCGAACAATCAATATTGCAATGCAGCCCTGAACACACATCATCATCATCGTTATCTGGTGTGAAGGGGGTCTGGCGCTTGACACAAGAAGACTGCGCCAGCCCCAACCATACACAGACGAAGAAGGAGGGGTTAGACGAAAGAGGAGGGGAAGATGGGAATGTCGTCAACACCAAGCCTCGGAACAACGGGAAGGCGAAATCCGCATCGCAGGCCGGAAATGGACAGCCAGTACACGTTCCATGGGTCAAGTTCGGCTTGACCGAGGCGGAGTACAAGGTCCGCGGCCGCTACGGCAGCTGCTATTGGTGCAACAGCACCAAGCACAAGACCTCCCTGTGCCAGGATCAGGGCAAGGAGGATGTGCGACCCTGCCTCAGCTCGGTAAACTGAGCTCCGCGGAAGGTGAGGCGACTCCACCTTCTACTCCGCCAGATTCGGCCGCCTTGCTAGCGGCCTCCTGCACGTCTGGGGAGAACGCGAATGTCACAAGTTCTCGTTACACTTACGAGGACTATGTTGTCCACTTGGTTCCACCGCTGGACCAACCGCTCCACGTGCAACAATCTACCGCATGCACGGTTTCATCACCATCGGCAACCGATTCGGCAGCTTCACCGCCATCTATCGCCGGGGATTCATCGTCATGGTCAAGACTTGAGGTGCTCGACCCACTGACGTTCACGGACTTCTAGTGGATGCCCGTTCCCCCGACCGGACGATTGCCGAAACCGCATTGCAATGTGCTCATGGCACAACTGCGAGATTACTTGCACACTGCAGTACCAGCTCCGTTGATGGACGCCGAAGTAGAGGTTGTCGACCTTCACGCTTACATTGCGAAGMTCGACCGCGAGTTCAAGACGCAACGGTACGACGACATCAACGCACCATTGCTATATGTACGCATTCAGATCGGAGAGGCGACCTGCAACGCCTTGATCGATTGCGGAGCTACTCGCAACTACATCAGCCAGGACTTCATGGTGCGCACCGGCCTTGGCCCACGCGTCCGGAGGAAGTCCCAGCCTACGCAAGTCACGTTGGCGGGCGGTCACACGCACAAGTCAATCGACCGCTGCATTGACAGCGTCCCAGTGTACTTCGCCCCTCACGCAAGTGAGGCGGTGTCCTTTGACATTCTGGACACCAAATTCGACATGATCTTGGGCATGTCATGGCTGCGAAGCAAGGATCACCCGGTGAACTTCTTCAACCGCACCGTTCACGTTCGTGACCAGAACGGAGTATTAGTTCCATGCACGGTGCCTCTTCCTCATCCTTCGATCAGCTGCCACCTGGTATTCGCCGCAAGCATGCGAGTTTCCATCATCAGAGATGACATCGAGGAGATGGGGGGGTGTTTTCTCCACGCCCTCCCGGCCCATGACGCTTCATCGACGGACTCACCTTCGGATCCACGCATCACAGAACTTCTCGACGCCTACAACGAGGTGTTCGAAGGCCCGCACGGAGTAGTACCGGATCGACCCATCCGCCACGAGATCATCCTCGAGGACGGGGCCGTACCTCCGCGCGGTTGCATCTACCGAATGAGCGAGGAAGAGTTAAGTGTGCTTCGGGCACAACTCGACGACCTTCTGAAGAAAGGCTGGATTCGGCCTAGCTCATCGCCATACGGTGTTCCTGTTCTCTTTGTCCGGAAGAAGAACAAGGACCTGCAATTGTGCATCGATTATCGCAAGCTCAACGCGCAGACAATCAGGAACGCCGGCCCTCTCCCACGCATCGACGACCTTCTCGAGTGACTGGGCGGCGCCAAGTTTTTCTCCAAGCTCGATCTCAAGTCGGGATATCACCAACTCGAAATTCGCAAGGAGGACCGTTACAAAACGACGTTTAAGACGCGATATGGGCATTTCGAATGGCTGGTTATGCCATTTGGCCTTACGAATGCCCCGGCCACTTTCCAAGCGGCTATGACAACGGAGTGCCGACACATGCTGGATCGATACGTACTCATCTACCTCGACGACATCCTAGTGTACAGCCGGAGTTTGGAGGAGCATGTGGAACACCTGCGCACCGTTTTGGAGCGGCTACGACAAGCCAAGTACAAAGCCAACCGCGACAAGTGCGAATTCGCACGACAGGAGCTGGAGTACTTGGGACATTATGTGACGCCGCAAGGCATCCGCCCGCTTGCAGACAAGATCGAGGCCCTACGAGTATGGCCCGA